CTGTAACTCAGTCATGGTGTGTTGAGGACTGAAGACCTTCCTTGGCCAGCACCAATTCTGCGAAGGTGTCCAGCGCGGAAGATGACTGCCAGCGCTGAATAACACTGCGTGCGCTATCACTTAGGCCAGCGGGTTTCTGTTCAGTCCCTCGCTGTGTGTACACATTCCCATCGAGAGTCCTGCCTACAAAGGTAATGTTCTGAAGCAACAGTTCACTGACTCTGCCCAGTTCATCAAAGGATGTCTGGAAAAGGGCTAGTTCTGACCATCCCAACTCCAGTTTGCTTGGAGCGAGATTTCGGTCAACTTAGCCTCAACCAGAACAGTATCTTTCTGAGTCAAAACAAAGCTGACATTCTGTTGGAGGCTTTCATACTCCGTCAGAGTGTTGCGAAGGCCAGCCTGCTGTATCAGAACATCTGTCTTCTCGGATTCTTTCGCAAGGCACTCAGCCTTCAGGTTATCCACCTGACCTACCAGTTCTGTCATGCGTTCTTTCATGGGGGAAGGGCAATGGTCCGATTCCACTCCTCCTCCTCATGATTGGTCTTTAAGGCCAGTACCGTTTTCAGTCGCTATAGATCAGTCTGATATGCAGACTGCACAGCCTGTAATACTCTGAGGCGATCAAGAGCGGCTAAGAACTGTCCCCTCAGGAGTTCCGCCCTCACCAGTTTGGCTTTTGAAGACTAAATAGAGCTTTGCAGCTCCGCAGCTCTTCCTGGTATATTCATCAAAGTGTCATTCGTCTCCTGGGAGGATGGACAAACATCCAACTCTGGCGCAGAAGTTTCTGCTGTAAGGACTGGTTCAATGATCGGACGGAAAACCTGGTCCTCAGCTAATTGTAGTGTAATTTGTTAGACACGTTTAATTAAGTTAATTGTTCCTGTACGTATCCCATAGCCTGATGACGAGCCCCGCAACTTTTCTCATTAAAGAATCTATTTTCCCAAAGAGGTCCTTCCTTTCTCAATTAAATATCTTGGGATGGCCGTATTTCAACACATAGTTTATTCTGTACAGAGGGATTACAGAAAAGATAGGAGGAAGTTGACTGTCGGACGAGAGGGGTAGAATCCAAAGTGTAGTCAGCGCGGGAATTCACACAAGCGTCTAGGGTAGTCTTTGTGTGAGTCAGCCTCGAGAGGGTGATTAGCCGGACCAGGAAAGCTGGCATTAGTTTGTGCGCACGTTAGCCACCGTGGTAAATCAAGCGTTGACGCAGTTTGCGGCACATGTGATTGGCTGTCCAGAGCGGGGGTCGGGACTTGCAATCACCTGTGTGGAATGACGCTGGTGGAAAGCGCTAAAGGTTCACTACAGTTGAATGAATGAAAGAGTTTCGCCGATCTAGTCAAGGAATAATTGCAGCTAGCCGAAACGAATAAAGCATGCTATCCGATCGGGAGCCAGAAGTCAC